AAGTTCCAACTTTACAACCTCCAACCTCCTACATAATCTCAAAGTTGATAAAACTACCCATTTTCAATGAAATCACATTATGTACAAATAACTAGACCAGTCTCCCAAAAGCCAATGAAAATAACCTTGATTTCACAAAACTCGGGTAGGAGACAGCATAATAGAGTGATCGTTAAAATAAAGTACTTTTACACGAAATCGGGAGGATGGAAAATCAAGCGTTAAAGAGCAAAGAAACAATCAATTTCAGTGTCACGGATATAGAAAACCAAAAACTAAACTGATTGCATTAATGCGCAACAAAATGCTCATGGAGAAAAAACAACAACAAAATTGCAAAAACACGCACTCGTACGACAAAAAAAAAAAATTCATCGAGAAAAATAGCACAAAATTATATCGATTAGCATAGAAAGTTGAAACAAAATACAGAAACCGGAACCTGAGGAGCAGCCAAGAGGCCAGGGTGATAAAGCGACTGTTGCTGAAGTAAAGCCTGATGCATCAAGGCCTGCTGCTGTTGTTGCTTCAGTCTCTGATTCTGCATTTTCGGGGATTCTGATTTTAATTTACGGAAATCCACTTAATTTATTGATCGAAGAGAAATTCTAGGGTTCGAAACAAGAGATAGAGGAGGGAAGAAGGACCTCTAAGAAAAAGGAAAAAAGAAAAAAACAGAGAGAGAGAGAGAGAGAGCACAGACACCTCAGTGAAAGGGGGGAAGATTGTATGGATTAGTTCTTATTTATAAAATAGCAGATTTGACCGGGCCCTGCCCTGCAAACGATAATAATACGGCCAATTATATCCGCGATTAGAAAGAGAAAACTCGACTCATTCCCAGCGTAATTTCTTTCTTTGTAGCCAATGTTTGATGAAGAATAAAATTAAAATTTTAATAGATTTTGATAAATATTGATAAAATATATGGCTAAAAGGTCGTGGATCTCACAAAATATGTGATTAAAATTAATTATCAACTATGACTTAAATTAAAATTCAGGTTTGATTTCCATGGAACAGGCCTTAGAAAAGATTGAGGATTCTAGTAATGTCACAAAACATGTTTGTAGTACAAAAATTCATTCCGATTTAAATTTTTTATGCCCATGTTTGATAGAGATTAATATTTAGATTTTAATCTAAACCAAAGTCAACAATTAATTTTTGTCACACATTTTATGAGTTTCACAACTTGTTAACCACACATTTCATCAATTTCTATCCAAATTTACCAAAAATTCGATTTTAATCCTCACCAAATAGGGATATTCATTGATACTTGGAATTTACATATGACCCCAATGATCTTGAAGTTTCCGTAAACCTCGGGCTCATCATTCGCTCAAAACTACAATGGACTCTTTAGTGTCGATTTGTGAGCTGGTCTTCAATGACCTTTAGTATTTTGTGCTCCAAGCTGTTCTTTTCCTTTCTATTGTCAAAGTTCCTTAGTCTAAGAGAACGCTACCTTTAATATTTTATTTCAATTGTAAATAGATGTGATATTGGAAAAGTTTA